AATCGTTTAAACTTTCAGAGTACGATTCCGACTCCAACTTCAACTCCAAAGCAAAATTTTTGAAAAATTCTTTGAATTCTTTAAAAAATAATTGACGATAATTCAATTTTTTTTTTTTTTGCCTAATATATGAAAAATTCTTTGAAGTTTAAATATTCTGTACATGCACGTGCAATACAGAGAAGTTTTACTATTGGAGTCAGAGTCGCGATTTTGTTTGGCGACTCCGAATCCGCTAAAAATGTCGCGACTTCGACTCCACAGCCCTGCTTGCCACAGAGAACACATACACTGAGAGGATATTTTCTATCAAACTCAGCATATAATTAATTGAAAATGACCTGTATAAACCCCCAATTAATCAAAGGTTACCCAGAACGTCAGCGCTTTTTAAAAAACTGTGCTGCAAACCGTTGGAATAAATTAGCGCAGGATGTAATTGATGTGCCTACAGTAAACTCTTTTAAAATTATTTTTATGAAATTACTTCTGCTGCAGCAATGCCAATCGTCAGCATATGAAAACCTGGTCTTGCTTTCCTTCATCAATATCAAAATTTTTTTATGCATAAGTTTTATTATTATTATAATAAATGAATAAAAATCTATTTGTTTTTAGCTGCAGTTCCGCTATATGGAAGATCTTACAAACTTTCGGACACCAAACATTTGGCTCAGATAACCACTATTAAACTAGTTGCAAAATGACCACATAAAATTACTGCTGCTCTATAGCCTTTGGTTTAGCTTTAACCAAAATATCGACTCATGATGAGCAGATGACTCGTCTTGACGAAGAAACTGAGCTTTTTGCAAAGTGAACGATGGTAGCAAAATCACAATGAACCTGAATATGCCAGAAGTTTTCTGAACACAAATATGGTAAACGTTGCGCTTTGTTGTGTCATTTAACAAATTCAATTTAAAACTTTTGTTACTGCAAGATAATCATTTTAATTATGTGGGATTTATCCCGTATAGGATTAATACATTATAACATTAAAGAAAGTCCAGGATCAAACCGCCGTAATCCGTAAATGAAATGCTAATGTCATGAATTAAATTAACCCTTATTATAAATTAACTTCCGTTGCGTAAAAAATCACCTCGGGAGTTCTATTTCAAAATAGATTCACTCCCCTTAAAATGAATTAACTCCCCTCTACAAACAATTTAACTCCCAAAATAAGTTTACTACCCTTTACTCGTAACTTATGTGGATAGTATTGATGTTTTACAAACGTATATATATATATGTATATATATATATATATATATATATATATATATATATATATAATATATATATTTATATATATATATATATATATATATATATATATACATATGATCAACTGTTAGACTTAAAAAATAATAACGGCTATTTCGTTGAAAAAATATTTTCATTGTGCTAAGAGTTGATAATTTTAACAGCATAAATTTAAAAAAATTTAGAACCAACCTGTTTTGGAAATTAGTCTTATTTGTGGAACCACTGGTGTCCTCCATTACGCTATCTATCAAGTCAATTGCCTTTTTAGATAACATTTTGATATGACAGACACTTTTCAAAATTTACTTTTGCTTTTGAATTTAGAAATTGTTATTTGTTCTATTGGACAACTTTAAAGTTTGTTCTATTGGACGATCAGTCATGTAGCATATGTAGTGATTTAATATATGTAATATGTAATGTTGTAACATATAGATGATGTAATATATGCTCAAATATTTGTAATGATGTAATAAAGCATTGCATAAATAAAAACTCTATATCAGATCCCATTTAACCTGCAACGTGAGCTGTGCAACTATTTCAGGTGGAGCACTGTGTACCATTTAGTCTTTGTAATATACTGTAGGAAACACCATAGGTGGAAGAATCCTGTTTTGTAAGGTATTTTCTGGAGCAAGCATTGTAACTAGTTTACTTCTGATTGCTGAAATAATTTTTTCAACTTTAAAATTTTTTTTTTTTTACTGGCAATACTTTTTATATTTTCCGCTTTTTGAACTGTATAATAATTTGTCTCGTCAATAGGATTAAAATTTTATGAATATTTATCAAGAATTTCTTTCAAACTTTAAAAAATTTTGCGACTTTTTTTATTAAAACTTATAACGCGCGATAAACTTTTTGTTTCTACGTAAAGAAAAGTTCTTACACTTTTTCCAAAAGTAAGTTTTTTTTTCATGATTTTGAACCAATTTTTCTATTATGTTCAGCAAAACCATATGATAATTTTTTTAAATGAGTGCGAGTAAATCCATATTGAACCCTGGAAGTTTTTACTACATAATCATTTAACAATGCTATAAAGCAATTATGCTCACAGCATAATTGTTTTTCATATTTATAATTACCATGAGTACTGCATCTTCATATTTACAGAACTTGTGTTACCAATTTTTTTTTTCAATCTATTTTTGATTTCAGATTATGTATAATACGACATTGTGATGTAACGAAAATGTGTAATTTAACGACGTAACGTAATTTTTTATTTATATTTATGTTTTAAAAGGGCTTGGCAATAGCCTTTTTTTTTTTAAACATGTTTATTTTACAACTACAAAGTATTTACAATTGACCAATCACCGATTGGCGAATAAAGATATACAAATATAAATATCGTAAACATAAGGTCCAAAATAAATAAGGGATAAATCTAAAATATTGTTACATTCAACTTACAATACAAAGTACACAATAGAATAACGTGAACGTAAAAATTACCCAAGAAATAAACCTTCTATATTCTTTCAATTAAAATAAAATATATACATATATAAAAGTATGATAAAAACAAGATTTGTATAAGATTGAAGAAAATAATTAATTGTTTGTAGTTATAGGAAGCTCGCAGAAGACTGGGATCTTGTCATCGAGTACCTTCTAGACGTGTAATACACATGAAAATCAGTTGCATACGTGGTAAGTATGTATGTGGTACATATATGCCTTAAAATTATTAATGTTACTATCTCCTTTTAGTATTATTTTTATTGTTTCCTTTGAAAAGTTACATTTTTTGTTTTATTAGGGTTGTTTTATAGTATTTATATTTTTAAATTTTAAATTGGAGTTTAAAAAAACTCCTTGTAGTTGTTTAATTTGATTATTGTAGATTTTAACTTTGTTTTCAGGGACTGTTCGTTGTTTAAATTTATTAGCGATTCGTTTCTAGAAATTATTTTGTTAAATAAATAGGGACCACGATGTTTTATTGAAAATTTTGAGAGTTTAGTTTTTTCAAAGGGTATCTTAAAGTTTCCCGTTGCTCTTGTATTGTATTTGTTTACGTTGTTTTCAAAAAAGTGTGCTGTAAAATGTTCTGGAACCAGACTTAGTTTATATTTAAACATGAAAAGTATATTATAAATACTATTTTGAAAAATATTTAAAGCGTTCATTTGCTCCAGTAGGGGTTGAGCATGAGTAAGTTTGTTTTTGTTGAACACTGAATTTGTCTTCTTTTTTACCCCAGCCGTATATTTACATTTTATGATAAATAATTGAGTAAATTTTTTATTTATGGTGAAATACATCATAATAAAAAAAAGTTAAAACAAAGCAGCCGGCGTTTAGTCTTAAAAAAACGTCTTTTGAACGTTTGAAAGGCATCTTTTTAGGACGAAATGCCAGGTGGGTATTAACTGAAAAAAAAAAAACCCATAAAAAACCATTATTGGCTTTAATGAAGATATGCGGGCAATATTTTGATCAAATACTTTTTAAAAATAATATTCATATACATTCATGCAAACTGTTATTTTCTTGCACAACGAGGTAATCAAATGCTCTTTTCATTTACAAAGAAAACTCTCTGCTTCCACAAATTAAAAACTCTTCTTTCTCAATAATACAATTCATCTAACACTCTCCTGTTTATAAATTTTACAACAATTTTTATCTTTTAAGAATCTATGAAAATTAACATAAAAAACTTCTAAAATGCATCAGAACGAGAATCATTTCAAAAACTTCTCAATAATTCTTTAGTAAAAAACAATAAAAAAAAAAAAAAAAAAATAGTGAAATCGTAAACCATTTTGAAAAAGAAAAAAATATGGAATACAATCTATGATTACTTAAAAGGACTTAAAATGGTTTAAAAAGACTTAAAGTTGGTTTTAAGTGAAAAAATTCATTTTTTCTAATAAAAATAATTTTTCTGATAAAAAGATGAAAAGATTGTGGTGACACCAGTCATCCGTATCTTCTTTGAGCCCATGTCTGTTTTATATATATTCTTTGTGTAACTAAAAGTTTCGTTGTAATTTTATTATTTTATTTTTATTTAAACAGCGAAATATATATATATAAAAAAAAAATCATGCAACATATATACTGTACTGAAGAAAAGAAAGCAAAACTAAAGAGACTTAACAATGACTGAAAAGGGGTCCAAAATCGATATTAAAATATCTAAAAATTTAATTACTTGGAGAAACGTTTAATATTTAAAATTTTGATTAGACACTTACTTACATTAAATGTACAGTTGGAAACGTTAAATTTTTAGCAATTAAAGTTATTGGAAATTATTATTTTTAACTCTTTATTGTAAAAAATTTTATTAATTAAATTATTTCAATTTTTTTGCTTATTGAACTTTTGATTTAATTTGTTTTCATAATAATCATAAACTTATTTTTTTTCTAAAATTACTTGTCAAAGTTTACTTTGTCAAAACTTTTTCTTTTAAAAAAAAAATTTTGTTCTGATAATTATCTCTCCTACTGTACAGTTAGGCTGTAACAATTAGGCCTACAGTAATTTTTTTAATAAAGTTAGACTGTAACAATTAGGCCTGTACTGTAACAATTAGGCATACAGCTGTAGGCCTAATTGTTAACATGTTTTTAGAAACGAAAATTTGAAAAATATGGCAGAATTTTGGTCTATTACACTGTGGATGTTGAAAAAGGCTAGAGAGCCAATGGAAAGTTTTTTCAAGAAAGTATTTTTTAACTTAAAACAGTTACTATAGCAGATTATTGTGACATTGTCATGCAACTTTCTAACGTTTAGAACATATAATATAATCTCAATCATAAGTGATAAAATTGTGGCCCTATTTTTGCATTTTTTAAAATTTTCTACGTTTAGAACATATTATATAATTTCAATAGTTATGTTTCTTTTCGGTTTTGATAGATCAAAACATCAAAAATTAGCAAAATCCTTTTATTTCATATACCTTTTACGCACAAATATAAGAAAATTTTTAGCAGAATAATGTCAACATTTCGTATACAAATACCAAAATTAAATTTCGTCTGATTGATTAACAATATTGGTTAAAAATTTAAAAAGTTGAGTAGACTAAATGCTACAGAAAGCGAAAAAAAAACAACATTTCCTGTTGTTACCATGGAAGTATAAAACAGATGGAAGTTCGACCGCATTCGGGACTATGCTTGTAACCTTTAGTTTCGTAAACAAAAAAAAAACAAAAAACGACACAAAGACTGTACTTAAACGCCTAATCTTTATACGTTGACGCAAATAGGTACATTTACAATAATTTAAAAATATAGTACTTTAACGGTTCGTCAATAATATTCAGGTATAAACATTAAAAAAAGCGCAACGAAACGGCAAACAACAACTTTCTTATTAACTTCATATTAAATGAATGGAGTTTTACAAGAATGAATTAAATTATGATATACAACTATTGAAACTTTAAGCTTTAGTAATTTAGAAAACATTTTTTTGATTTTTTAAAAATTGTTTTAATTGTCTTTTTAATCAAATGTCGTGTTATGATTTGAAACTAAAAAGAACCTTAAACTAACATATGCTTTTAAAATAAAGTGGTTCTGTTTGAAATTGCTTTGATATTTGCGAATTGATGAACTTCCATCTGTTTTAAACATGCATGCCGTTACTTAAGAGAGGATGTTATTTTAAACACGAATACATATTTTAAGTGTTTTTTTATCAATAAACATTAGCTTTTCTTTAAAATTTTTAAAAATAAACTTATTAATAAAAAACTTCTTCCTATATAAATCAATTGCCTTAAGTAAAAAAAGTTGGTTACAAAATAAGTTTATTTCTGGATCAGTTGATAAATAAAAAAAGAAAAAACACGGAAAATATACAATTCTATAGATTTTATATCTTTTAGAAAACGAAAAAGCAAACAAACATAGCAACGAACAATAGATAAGTCACATAAAATAAACAAAATTTTTTAAGAGTTCCATCACCCTTCGTCTTTAGGAGGTGTAAACCAACCTAAGTAAAATGTAAAACATTTTTTTTACAAAGCTATTTCTTTACTGTAGGATGTAAAAATTTACTTAAAAAACATCAAAAAACAGATAAATTATAATAAATTAAGCAACAAACAATCTAAATTTCGACCAAGTTTTTATTATTTAAATATGCATTGCTAAAAAAATTACTTGAAAATAATTATAACTATGCAATATAAAAAAATTCAATTTAAAAAGTATTTTATTTTAAATTCAATTTAAAAAGTATTTTATTTAAAATTAATTATGCAATATAGAAAAATATTAATTGTGTTAATTTAAAAAGTATTTTAATTAAAGCAATTTAAATTCTAATAAAACAAACAGGGAATAATAAACGATTCGAAATTAAAAGAGCTTCTAAATACCTTCATTTAAGTTTAACTAAAGCAAGAAGACAGTCAAGGAACACTTTGACGAAATAAAACAGATGCATTGATGAGAAATGCATTTTAAATAAATTAAATAGAGAGAAGGATGAAAAAAATTGATAAATTGATAAGTAACTTCTACGCATGATAATGGCAAGAACTTTTATATAATCAAATTACTAGTGTCTTGGTGTATTTTTACTAGAGACCAGTACATTAAAAGTATAATTTACCAGTATCTTTGAGTTTTCACTTGGTATAATTACATGCTTTACCTGTTTTTTTGAGGCACTTTTAAATATACTTTCATTTTTAATATTTACATCATTACTATCAACATTAATTACACCAATATTTACTTTTTTAAATTGACTACTTGGAGAGATTTCTCCCTTAAAATTTCTCCAATACATTAAAAGTATAATTTACCGGTATCTTTGTGTATTTTTACTAGAGACCTGTGTGCCGCTTCTGCTTTATGACTTGAATAAACAATATCAACCTAAGAATAAACAATATAAATACTTTGAACATATAAATCACAATAATAATAAATACTATACGAACAGTAGTTAAACTAGAGATGTATAAGTAACAACAATAAATAGCATATTACTTATTATCATTATATTTATTATTTTAAATAAAATTTATTAAATCAATATTATCATAACATCTGCAAGGTTCTGTTTTAGGGCCGACGCTCTTTGTTATATTTGTTAATGACCTGCCAGTTCATATCAAATCAGCCATTTGCAAAATGTACGCAGATGACATAAAGCTCATGAAAGTTATCGAAAATAGCTGCAAACAAAGCAAATAACAAGCTTGGAATTATTAAACACACGTTTGATAACGTGTGTTTAACAAAATGATGCAGATCTACGCCCAGTCAGGATCATGATTACTTTGCTACTGGCAACATGTAATCTTGTACAAGCTTCCACAAACCTTGCTGCTTAGTTAGTAGTAATTGTTTTTGGTTAAAAGTAGATAATTCCGAAATAAAATACTCTTCCTTATAGCTCTTGAATAAACAAGAGCTCTAAGAGATATGATATCAAGAGATATCAAGAGATATGAGCATAAAATTAATCATCTGGACCAGATGTAAACTTAATTCAGCTACAATCTTGTGTTAACCTAGTATTCAACTAATAGATGCAGTAGTATGAAAATGAACGGCTATCCCGAGAGATGTGTTTACAGCGCTCAATAACCTAATAAGTATGCAGAAACTAACACAAAAATTCTTTAGGAAGCTCATCAATGCACATTGAATCAGCATTCGCTGACTATTTAATCGGATCTAAAATCTCACTTAATAAGATTATGGTAAGATCTAAAATCTTACCATAATATAACACTAGTGCAGGGCCCTAGCTCTTTTGATTAAAAGGGAAGACTTGTGACCTATTTAAATAAAGAACAAATATTCACTTTTAAATGTCAAATAGTTTTAAGAATGAAAAAGAGACCTCCTATGAACACTTTTGCAATTCAGACAGCAATGTTGTTACATAGTGTTGTGTACATAGTGTTGTGTATTTAGTGTTGTGTTACATAGTGTTGTTACATGTTGTTACAGACAGCAATTTTGATAATATAGTGTAGAAAGTTGTAAGTGAAAAATAACAGGGTGTTGAAAGGTGTAAAAAAACTCACCAAACAAATGTGGTTCAAATTTTTAAAAAATTTACTTCTTAGTCTTAAAGATGTTAGAAATAACAGGGTGTTGAAGGGTGTAAAAAAAACTTGACCCATGGAAGTAAGAGTGACTAAAATGTCTGAAAAATTAACTTCTCAGTCAAAGATGTTAGGAAAATTGTGCCCATTAAAATCCAGAAATAAATTTGAAAAATAGTTTTTTGCAAACAATTCAGCTTTTTCCATGAAAGAGCTAAATCTGACCATATACAGGGTGTAACTATCCACATCAGTATACAGGGTGTCTGCCAATATTTTAAGGTGGATATTCCTAAAAACTTTTTCCTATTTCCTTGATCTAGAAGACACCCTGCACATATATGTGGTCATATATCAAATATGCATTTTTTAATGATACTATCTAGGATTTTTCAAAAATCTCTAAAGCTCTTGTTATGAAATAAACATTAGTAATCCAAGATTTGACATGAATTTCTTTTATGTACAAATTCTAAAGAAAAACCTGAATTATTTCCAACCTTGTATGTTGAGCATAAAATTTCTTTGAATATCAAATTTTGTCTATTTTAAAACAGTTATAAAAACCATTATAATTTAAAAACAAACATTTACTTTTTTGGTGCCCGAAAAATCAACTCTAGCTTTTCCTTTGACTAATGTAGCAGATATTTGCATTATTACTGCTTCAATGCTATAAGCGCTGCTCCAACCTTCAGGTGTTAGCAACTCCATACACAGAGCTCCACCACTCAAAACATAGCTGTATAAACATTTAAAATATACAAATTTTATTTAGGATTTTATTAATAAACAATTTCATTCAATACTTTTCTTTTTCTATTTTTTTATTTTTATTATTTATTTTCAATTTATTTCTATTTATTGCATCACAATAAAGTTGGTGTTGAATATATTATTATTTTATTATCTATTTTATATTTTTCAATTTATATTTTTTTCAATGCATTCCATAACTTGATCTATTTTTATTCTATATACTCTGTTCTTTACTATTATTCATTAATTGTTATTATAATATTTTATCCTATATTTTAAATATTTATTAAACACTGTGACACTATTAGCGTGAGGGAAGACCCCAAACTTTGCATGTTTTTTTAATAAGTTTGGGCAGAGCTGGAGTTGGGTATTTCTAAGGAGTCTCTGATTTTGCTTTTACATATTTATTGTATTGATAATCAAAAGAACCAGGAGTTCATTGGTCAGTTTAGTTGCTAGTTTTATCATGCGGATAAAAAACATTTATTGTAACCTTTAAAGAACCTTGATCAGAATCCATAGCAACCCTTACAACCTGTACAAAGATATTAAAGTCAATACTTGTTTCAATGAATATAACATGTATAAATTCATCAATATCCTTTATAGAAATTATTGCTTTTTTTACTGTATCACCAGCTTCAAAAAATACTTCTTTTTTACATATTCATTTTACATAAAATATTCATTTCAGTTTTTAAAGCTAAGCTTTTCTAATTTTTCAAACACTATTTTTACAAAAAAAATTTCTCTGAATACTATTTCGAAAAGCAAGACTCTTTCTAAATATAGAACACATTTTTTTGGTTTTACACTGTAATAGTTCTAAACACTTTATAAGCTCAATAAATGTTTCAAAAGACACTTGATTTAGATTTGCACAATCACTTTTTTTGTCTATAGTCTCAGCTA